CTTAGACTATTGCTAGGACTAGCAGACATGGCAATTGAGACTAAGATCTTAGGAATACAGAGAAGAAGGAACAGCTATAAGCAGACACTAGTGATTGGAACATGGAATGTGAGAAGCATGAATGTAGGAAAATTGGACATTGTTAAGAAAGAAATGGAACGCATAAATATTGACATACTAGGAATAGGTGAAATGAGATGGCTTGGCACGGGACATTTTGAATCAGACGATTATATGATTTACTATGCTGGGGATGAAAAGGTGAGGAAAAAATGGGGTTGGTTTCATAATTTAAAAAGTCATTTCTAGATCCATCCTGAAATACAATGTGGTGAGTGATAGGATAATGTCCATACGCGTACAATGAAGTCCAGTGAATACCACGATCATTCCCAACCCTGATATCAGTCCCATTTTACAACAGTGGCACCATGCAATATTTGTCCTTTTGCATCTGAGATATTTCACTCAGCATAATGTCCTCCAGGCTCACCCATTTTGAATAATATTGCAAGAGTTCTTTGTTTTTCAATGCAGCGTAGTATTCCATTGTGTGAATATACCACAGCTTTTCTATCCATTCATTTGTTGATGGACACGTGGGTTGTTTCCAACTCCTTGCTATTGTGAACAGAGCCACGATAAACATGGGTGTGCATATATCTGGGTGGATGTCAGTTATGGTCTCTTTGGGATATATTCCCAGTAGTGGAATTGCTGGGTCAAACGATATCTCTATTTGCAACTTTTTTATTTAACCTTTATCTCTAGAACATTTCTAACCACAGTAAGCTTGTTTATCTCTGAGAAGCTGGCGCCAGGCATTATTGTTCTTTCTCTGAATAATCGCTTGTACCAATGTTCTATTGTTCAAATAGGAGCAAAGGAAAAGGAGATTAGCTCATTTGAATCTAGGATTTGTGATCAAAATTATTATAAAAATGAAAAAATTGAGAATGGGATGGATTCCAATGAAAGAAAATGTGATATAGTTAACTGGAGAGGGAAATGTAAACGCTGTAGAATACGATTCAGTGCAAACCTTTCAAAGGTTAGGCAGGAAGTATTCTAGGGATCTAATGAGTCACAACATAAAGAGAACACAGTTTATTATTAAGGCAAGTATCATGTGTGATTGAACATATTAAAGCAAAACAAACACTGCCAACAGGTCGATTCTGACTCGTAGCTGACACTCCATCAGGTTTCCAGTTCTGTAAATTGCACAGAAGGAGATTGCCCATTTGTCTATGTTGGAACTGCTGGTGAATTTGAACTACCAGACAAGTGCAACCTTTGGATGAGCAGAGAATTTGTGAAGGATTATGTCACTAGAGCTCCATGCTTGAGGGTATAGAAGTTATGTATTAGAGAAAGGTTTCTGACATAAGATATGACTTAGAGAGGACGTGGAGGTTGCCCAGAGTACAATACATACAGAAGAGAGCTTTGTAAATGGCATTAATTAGACTAAAGTAAAGCCCTGAAACTAGACAAAATATTTAGCCTTACGAAAGAAGTGTAACAGGAGAAATGTGTTGCCTTTCTTCACTGAGAAAAGTGTAACGCTAAAAACGGGCAATGCTTTGATTCTGTTCTCTCCATCCCTCATTCGTTCATTTCTAAGTAATTGACTGATCACCTTTAATTAAATATCTCCTGAATACTGGCCATTTCTATATTATCTCTATCTCTTTTATTGCTATCAAGTCAGATCCAATTCAATCCTCTGTGGGCTTTACAAAGAGGTTGTCCATCTTTCTCCCAGGAGCTACTGACATATCTGAACTTCCCGACAGGCTCAGCTAACATCTGCTCAAACACTAGAATTTTCCAAACAACTATTACAGTTTTGTTTCTAAAGTCCGAAACTTGTAAACTATCAAGTTCAGAATTCATTCTTCTGTTGTCTCTTATTGAATACCAAAGTCACATCTTTCCTTTTTGGAAATCACATTCCATAAACACCATTACATTCAGTAAGTTGAAATGAAACTTAATTGCATAACAAAGAATTTTATTATACTGTAAGTAGATTAGGTTTTTATGATGTTCATTTAGCCATTCTTGTTTCCTTGAAAAGTTGTTAATAAATTGACATGGAAATTTGGAAATACAATGAGGATCTCTATGAAAATGCTTTGCAATTAAAAGAGTCATTTATAATTTGAAATATCATTTTAAAATCTAACTTTTTGAAAAATTGAACCTCTCATCTAATGGATTTCCTAAAGCAAGACATTGTTGTGCCAAGAAGATAAAAGAGTTTTTAACACTGAAATCCAGATTATCTGAACTTCAAAAGCTATTTTTAGTGCCTAAAATGTATTTGTGCATTTAGAAAAATTTTATTAAATTAACATGGCTAAAATATTTTCCTAACTCCTTAATTTTTCAAATTTGCACTTTCCTCATTTATTGTATAGATATTTCTCTACCCCAAAATTAACCCTAACTTTATAAAATATATGTATGTGAATATATTCAGATAGATTATACTTCTTAGAATCAATGTTCTTTGACATGTGGTGTTTTTATACTCAAGCTATGTGGAAAATTTGAGGTGTTATCCCAACTGGTCAACTTCTAGCAGCACCCTAATAGGAAAAACTGAGTAACGTTTAATTACAGTCTTTATAGTACCATTCATCACTAGTCACTGGCCTGTCAACTCGAGGACACACTAGAGGCTCTCCTCAGTTCTTTACAGTTTTGGGAATTTCTGCAACATTTTTGTCCCTACCCTTTTTAAAATGAAACTTCTTCTATTTTGATATGGAGCTCTAGCAGACTACTGGTAAAAGTTGTACTGTCCACCTAAAGGAGAATGATGGGCGTTCTCTTCTTGTGGGATTTACAGCCTCTGAAAGCCTGTTCGAGGGTCAACAATGGGTTGGCTCTGTCTTGACATCACTTGGCACAACACACATATTTAAATAAGGGAACTCTGCTGGCATAATCCATAGGGAGTTGCACTGCTTTCCCAAAGGTGGTGCCTCTTTGGTGGTTCAAATCCATTATTAGCTCCTCAGAAGAAAGATAAGCTACATTCTCCCATACAATTTACAGACTCCAAAAACCTGTTGGAGGGTCAGCTATGAGTTGGTTCTGACTCCAAGGCAATGAATATGAATAGTGAGTACATTTTGAAAAGGAACTCTTGCTGCAGCAGTAAAGCATTCAGCTTCTAAACAGTTGAACCCACCAGCCAATCCACAAAACAAAGATGTGACACTTTGCTTTCACAACTACACCTTTAGAAACCTATGAAGCAGTTCTACTCTTTCTTCTAAAGTGTCCATGAGTCAGAATCGTTAAGACAGCAAGGGCTTGGTTTACATGCTTAAATATAGCTAGATTCACATGCAGTAGTAGGAAATAATACAGAGAGATACTATATACCCTTTACCTAGTTTTGACAGCTTCTTGCAAAATTGTGTTCAACTCAAAACACATTGTCACTGAGGCAGCAGCAAATCACACACAGCTGACACAACAGCAGGTGTTGGAAGTCTGTAAAGCAAACAGGGGGAGATTGTCATCTTTCTCTTGAGGTAGATTTGAATCACCTGCCTTTGGGTCAGCAGTGCAACTGTCCACTCACTAGGTGGCCAGACCCCTCTATACTGCAATCAGAATAATAACACTGATACAATACACTGACATTTTCGGAAGTTCTCAGTTTTACTTGGACTCATTTGTGTATTGGTATTTATTTCTATGCAAAATTTTTACACATGCAGGTTTGTATATTTCTCACGATGGTATAGTGCAGCACAAATGAGATACAAAACATTTTCATCACTATGATAGATTCTCATGTGGCCTGTTCATAATCATAACCACTTCTCATTGACGTGTAATATGTTTATGACTTGATGCTTGTGCATTTTCTAATTAACTTTCGGGAAGTAACTGATCTCTCCTTTTCCTCTTGCGACTGCCACCTACTAGCACCGTCTTGAGTTGTGCTTCATTCTGTTTTGGCTAAAGGAATAACAAAATGGGGGAGGAACTGCTTGCATCCTAATTCTGTGATGACATAGAACCAAAGTTTACCTTTGTTTTCATTCCCAGATTACGCTCGATTTGAGGCCAAAATCCATGACCTACGAGAGCAGATGATGAACTACAGCATGAGCTCCGGGTCCGGGTCCCTGAGAACCAATCAGAAACGCTCCCTCTACGTCAGGTAGGCAATGAACAGCTCTGGTGGCAATGTGCACTGTGTGAGCAATCCATCTGGGGGAGACAACAGTTTTGTTGCAATGGAATATGTGTTCTGGTTAACCCATTTGTTCACAACATAGCACCATCAGATCTTAAGTTTAATAATTTCTAATAAATTTTTGAAAGGTCATTATGGTAAATTAGTTAAAGGCCTTTGCTTTTACCAAGCTATTCTCTGGCAATGTCATGATGCAGGAGAAAGTACTTGGGCCCATTTGCAGTAAAAATAATGAGAAGAAACATTGTCATTTGTGATAAAGCATAAATTGACTCTATGGAACAAAGGCATGGACGTTTCTTCACTATCAGAATGGGAAGAAAATATTCCTGTATCTTCTCCTACTGCCTTGGTATGCACCACGACAGGCTTGGTATACTCACAACTAGAAGTGGATTAGTGTCTCTCTTAGTAAGTTTTGTTGGCCATGTGACTATTGGAAAACATGCTTTTATGGAATTTTGTAAAATATTTATTTGTCTTTGTTGTTATGTGCCGTCGAGTCGTTTGCGACTCACAGTGACCCTATGTACAACAGCCCTAAACCCTGCTCTATCCTGTGCCAATCTCATTGCCTCTGACACACCCATCCCGATTACCCCAGTCACTGAATCAATCCACCTCATAGAGGGTCTTGTCTCTTGCATGACTGAATGCATTAATTTATCGGAAAAGAAGTGATTGGTTGAGCTTGAAATGCATGGCAATCTTTGACTCTGTGGCTGACACCTAAGTAGGTGCCATCCTTATTCTCTTGTACCATGCATCTCCTAGCCCAAACCTCCTGTGTATTTCTAAGATGCACTTCACTAGTGCTCATCATACTTTTTAAAAGCACATAAAGCGTGACATTATGTCAATTTCTGGAGCTTTGTTTTTCACCAATCAATACCTTCTGTGCAACTTGGACTTTTTCCTTCAGTTTTCTGATTCTTTATTGTGTGCTGCTACCAGGTTTTTATTATATTCTACCCCCTGGAATGTCTGACAAACTCACTGTGGTACAATAACTTTGTATTCTTTCTAATTTTTTTTAGATACTTTACACATCACTCAATGTTTTGCCCTAGAGTCTTCCAATATAGCAACTTAAAGTCTGAGTATTTTCTATGACTTTTGGCTTTAGAAACGTTAAGCTTCTCCTTCTCTTTGATTTTCTAACTCCAGGTTTTTCTAACTCTAGAGTCTCTTTGATTTTTTAACTCCAGATGCTCTCACATTTCTTTACGAGCCACCCTTATGTTCAGCTCTTTTGTCATTATTTCTTCCGTTCTCTTTTGCTCCTCTTCATTCAACAGCATGTTTCACAGTGTCTCCTGACATCCATTTTGGCCTTTCCTTTGATTTTAGTAGCCTTTTGTTTTCTTTATGTATGACATCCTTTATCTTATTATTCTACAATTTGGCCAGTCATTGATCATTGGTGTTTATTATGTCAAATCTACTCTTTAGATCATGTCTAAGTTCCAGTGAGTTTTACTCAAGGTCATATTTTTATTCTATTAAATTTATTTTTATTTTCTTAAGTTTTATTTTGAACTTACCTATGAGTAGCGGATGATTTGCACCGCAGTCAACCCTTGACCTTTCTCTGACTGATGATATTGAGCTTCTCCTTTATCTCTTTCCAGATGTAGTTTATTTGATTCCTGTGTATTCCACTTTTTAATGTCCACATGTATAATCACCGAATATGTTATAACAGATTGTTTCAATTGTTTTTTTTTTTGTTTTGTAAAATTATATAATTAGATTGACATAGTAGTTTTCTATTACCAAGACCTAATTTTCCAACAATTGATCCTTTTTTTGTTTCTAATCACTGGTAATTAATTATATCAATGCATCTTGATTACATGTTTGATCATTTTCAGAATACAGAAGATAAAAAATATCTTCAATTTCTTCATCTTTAGCATAGTGGTTGGTACATAAATTTGAGTAATCATATTAACTGTTGTTGTTGTTGTTGTTATGTGCCATCGAGTCACCTGTGACTCATAGCGACCCTATGTAAAACAGCCCTAAACTCCGCTCTGTCCTGTGCCAATCGCACTGTCTCTGACACTCCCATCTCAATTATCCCAGTCACTGAATCAATCCACCTCATAGAGGGCCTTCCTCTCCTGCGCTGTCCCTCCACCCTCCCAAGCATGATGTCCCTCTCTAAGGACCGGTCTCTCCTCACAACATGTCCAAAGTATGTTACATGGAGCCTCAGAATCCTTGCCTCCAAGGAGCCACCCAGTTTAACCCTTTCCAGGACAAATCTGTTTGTTTTCCTAGCAGTCCATGGTATTCTCAATACTCTTCTCCAGCACCACAGCTCAAAGGCATCAATTCTCCTTCTATCCTCCTTGGTCATTGTCCAACTCTCTGATGCATAACAGGTGATTGCGAAGACCATGGCCTGTATCAGACGCACCTTAGTCTCCAGAGAGACACCACTGCTCTTCAGCACTTTGGAGAGGTCCCTAACAGCAGACTTTCCCATGGCAATGTGCTTTTTAATTTCCTGGTTGCTGGTGCCAAGACTGTTGACTATGGAGCCAAGCAAACTAAAGCTGTGTACAATCTCAATCTCTTCACCATCCATCCTGATGCTGCCATTTGGTCCAATGGTGAGAATCTTTGTCTTCTTGACACTGAGCTTCAATCCATATTGCAGGCTGCAGTCCTTGACACTCTGCAGCAGGCGCTTCAGGTCCTCCTCAGTTTTAGCAAGCAGGGTTGTGTCATCCGCATAACGCAGATTGTTGATAAATCATCCACCAATCTTGACCCCACATTTCTCCTCATAGAGCCCCACCTCCCAGATAATCTGTTCTGCATATAGGTTGAAAAGGTATGGAGATAGGATGCATCCCTGCCGTACGCCCTTCCCAATTTTGAACCATGCAGTGTTCCCTTGCTCTGTTCTGATGACTGCCTCCTGGTCCAAGTATAAGTTTCGCATTAGAACGATCAAGTGTTCTTCTCAGAGTCAGCCATAGTTTGTTATGATCTACACAGTCAAATGCCTTTGCATAGTCAATGAAACACAGACATTCCTCTGGTATTCCCTGCTTTTAGCCAAGATCCATCTAACATCAGCTACAATATCTCTAGTACCATGACCCCTTCTGAAACCAACCTGGATTTCTTGGCACAACTTGGTGAGCACGTCCAGGGCAGCATGTGTTAACTGAAATATGTCAATTGGTATACCATCTATTCCTGGAGCCTTATTTTTTGCCATTTCCTTCAAAGCAGCCTGAACTTCATCTTTCATCACCGTAGGCTCTTGCTCATATGTTGTTTCATGAAATTCTTCTGTGTCTTCCAATTCCTTTCGATACAGTGACTCAGTATATTCCGTCCATCTTCTTTTAATACTTCCGGGATCATTTAACATTCTGCCGAAAGCATCCTTGATTATAGCAACTCGAGGTTTGCATTTGTTCTTCAGTTCCTTGAGCTTAAGATATGCTGAGCGAGTTCGGCCCTTTTGATTTTCTGACTCCAACTCCTTGCACATTTCATTGTAATATTTTGCTTTGTCATCCCGTGCTGCCTTTTGAAATCTTCTATTCAACTCTTTAGTATCTTGAATTCTTCCCTGTGCTTTGGCTTCTCTGAGCTCCAGTACAATTTTCAGAGTCTCTTCTGACATCCATTTTGGTCTTTTCTTCCTCTTCTGTCTTTGCAATGACCGTTTGCACTCTTCCTGGATGATACCCTTGATATCCTCCCACAACTCATCTGGCCTTCATTCATTAGTGTTCAAAGCCTCAAACCTGTTCCTGAGATGGTTCTGAAATTCAGGTGGGATAGACTCAAAGTCATATTTTGGTTGCCTTGGATTTGGTTTAATTTTCCTCAGCTTTATCTTGAATTTGCATATGAGTAGTTGGTGGTCTGTTGCACAATCATTTTAACTAGTCTTCTCTTTTCTGTGTAGATATTACACTTTCACAGCATTGTACTTCAGAATTGCCCTTTAGATGTTCTTTTTTACAATGCATGTGACTCTGGTCTTCTTCAATTTGCTTCTCCTATGATAGTAGACCAATGACTGTCTTATTCAAAATGGTCAATATCAGTTCTTTTCCACTCAGTAATACCTAAAATATCAATCTTCAAGCTATCCTTTTCATTTTGAACAAATTCTAATTCTAATTTTCCCAGATTTATACTTTATATATTTTTGTCCCAATTTTGAATAGGTATTTGCATCTCATTTTTAACTTGTGCCATATGAACAATGAAGTTACCAAAAGCTTTCTTACATCTATCCTATTAAAATTGGCTCTATTTTGGGGAGACAGCTTTTCTCCAGTTGTACTTTGAGTGCCTTCCAAGCTGTAAGGCTATTTTCCATACCCATGTCCAAAATCTTTCTAGACTGCCTTGGTCTGAAAGCTCCTTAAAACTGTGTCTGCAAGGGTGACCCTCCTGGTATATAAAATATTGTGGTGTACCTTCCAGCATGATACAAGCCTAAGCAACCCCCATATGTCACCACAGCATGACAGGCTGACATACAATTGGAGGCCAACTTCTCCTTGCCCTTTCATGTTTAAGGGCATTTACCCTCTTGGAAATAATTAAGCCACCATTTACTTGCAACAATTTCTTCATCACAATCATTTTCACTTGTTGCATATGTAGCTTTTAAATCACTGAAAAGTTTTGAGCCTTTTATTTGTTTGTTTTGTAACCTGTAGATTGCCTTTATTTTACTGTAATCTCTGAAAAAGACTTAGTTGAGAAAACACCTAGAGCATTTTTTATAGTTCTGTCCTAAATATTATGGAAAGCTAACAACTCCATGTGTCACAATTTCTTTTCTCCTTACTTGTACTGTATTCCTGGTTTTCATGATCTTTAGATTTTTAAATGATTTGTTCTTGAGCTGCTGGGAAATGCAAGTTGCACTAAGATAAATCAGTTAGTGTAAATACATTTGTTCAAAAGGATAAAAC